ATATATATTACAAACTTTTAAAACAACCTGATGCACTTCCTCACTGAATAATATAAATGTACATTAAATACTTGACAAGTTCATACACAGTTTGGGGACCACAAAATTTTCTTAGGCTTAAGCTTATACTTGTAAGTTGTAGCTATGCTTTCTCATATATCCTCAATCAAGCTTGGCAGAAACACCAAATAAAAACTTTTCAAAGACATAAAATTCTAAGAAAGGAAAAAAGCATGGAAACAATACATAGGAAACTGTTATATGAACAAGAGGTCAGATTTACACCAGTAAGCACTATCAATCAGCACTAACAGTAACAGGCTCATTCACTGATTCAGGTAGGACCAACAATCTATCACTCAGTAACACTGTATCGTATCAATAATAATTATACTACTGGAGAGTTGAATTTGTAGTAACTAGAACTAGTAGTAATATATAATGGCTTCAATTCCTTGTGTGATTTAAAACAAGTATTTTCAAAACACTTTATATTTAAGCAATTGACAGCAAAACCTAATATCAATTGACCTTGAATAACCTAGATTTAAAATGAACGATAAATGTACGAAATGAAGTTTCACGAGTAACTAGCCTACGAATGATAATCTATTCATTTTCACCCCTAACTGGCCCTTTTTATAGCAAAGCATATTACGTTAAGTATGATCACGTGAGAAATAATGACTAACAGTAAGCCGAAGTGCACACTTTCAATCGTTCATGGCAGAGAATTAGTTAATTTTACGATAAACTGAGCTCCGTTAATAAATAATAATAATACATGAAATTACTGATAACAGAAATTGGTGGATTATCCAAAAAAATAAAACAGAAAAACATAAACAAATTTATCTACGTTTCATGTACTTAGGTTCATCTCCATATGATAAAGTCATAATTGAATGCAACAGACAAAAGTTAGAAATAATAATTGTAATATTGATAAATGATATACGATAAAATCCGAAACCGACAGGAGGACTAATCTTTTAGTTCTACTATACGCTAAATAATTATATGTTGCTTATGTTTACTCTCGTCTGTATCACATAACTTAATGTTTTTTTTTATTATTTGACTAAATACAAAGTTAGTTGGTTATCCAAATGCAAATAGATTAAACACAACATTAGACAAACTACAAAAATAATCAACAAATGTGCATATGATGTCATCAGGATAAATCACTGCAGGTGATGCACCATATCACCGTTTTACTTTTCAATACCAATTCTAAAGTACGGTTTTCTAAGAGTGTGGCGGCATCTATCAACTATTTGAAGAAACGCCAGATGCCGTTGAATTAGCGAAACGTTTGAGCTAACACTACTCATTGGTTAACGTAAACTATTTGCAATGAATTGAAAAATTAAAAAAAAAAAACAAAACAATTAGGACGTTTCACCTCTTGAAGTTTTATCTCCCTTTTTATACTATATTTTCACTTCGTAGAATAACAATACCTACCTAAATTTTAACTATATAAAACAGTTTGAATAAAATAAACAACACGCCAAATAAGAGCTAGAAAAGACAAAACTACTTTGAATATGACTGCATTTTTGTCTTTCAAAACCGAACGCGAATTACATTAATTTATATTGTTGCGTCAGCGAGTCACATGACTAGTGTGACGCCACGTTTCTAGAACTATCCTGTACCTTGGCGAATGTTCTAGCATTTACTAGATATAGGGTAGGCTGGTATATAAAAGAGGGTGACAACGTGACGGGGCAATAATGTAATGTGTGTGTGTAGATAGTGAGTAATTGAACTGCAGTCAGAAGTATTGTTGACGTTCGTTGATATAGCGTTTGTTTTAGCGTGATTGTTGAAAATAATGTATCGTAAAGTTGTATTCGGAAAGAATAAACCAGTTTTATTAAGTAAGGATTTGTGTCGCTAAAGTTTCGTCGGAACGAAGTTACGGAAAGTTAATTAACGAACGGAGACGTAACAATATATACATCTGGAGTGTAAAGGTCGTTGATCTAAACTTTCAAAATTAAGTATGGCGTAAACATCTTCAGCCACTAGAGGGCCTTAAAACGGGGGACAGAAATATAAAAGATGGCTAAACTTACACGTAGTGTATCAAACTTTAAAGTGATTTGAGTATTGAAGTTAGAAATGTGCCTTATTTATATTATGTGTTAATAAGTAATTACCAAACTTTTACGAAGCCGTGTTAGCACAAGACGTGGCTTGGAGAATGTGTGATTTAAGTCTAAATGTACAGCTGTCAGAGACTAATACATTACTTAAAGCTGTTTCTGCGATCCCCGATAAGAAAGGAGGAGCGAAACTAAGGAGAAAAATCGAAGCAGAATTGCGTTTTTTAAAACGTGTAAGAAGTAACCACGCATTAAATATTTTCTCGTACAAATTTTATAACAATACAAATTTTAAGTTTCCACCAGTACAATAGTAAATACTATTGTTGGCATAAATTATTAAATTAATGCTTTGTACTTGCTAATGATAATAGAATTTATGTTTATAATCACATTGTTGTAATTTTGTACTTATAATTGTTATATTAATATTAAATTATAGTAAAGATTAGGAATATGATGGATGACTGATTACTAGTACTACAGTATATGTACATCACTACGTGATGATATCGTGATTGTTTATATCTTCCCAAATATCTGTGCTCGTGTTAAAATATGAAGGACTTGTGGCACAGTAAGCAAAGAGGATAGATTCAAAATTCTAATGCTAGGTATTCAAATTATTCCTACTCCATATGATTTTTCTCACTTTTACCAGTCTATACTATCTTGTGTATCTTTTGTGCAGGATGAAAATGAAATGTTATCTAGCTGGAATTTTAATTTTTTTCATTAATAACAATATAGAAATATTAGTTATGTATATCTTTGCCTGATTGCACTAAGAACCATAATCAGTGGAGTAAAATATGTATTTTCTATATATTTTTGTATATCATCTTGTTTAGGCTAAGTTTGGTGATATAATGTAGTCATTTAGATTATGATTAGAGATGGAACAAAAATTCAATCTGGTATCTGATCTGATCAGCTATTGCTCTATTTGATGAAATCTCAGCATATCAGATATTAATTTTGCCATCAGATAGCATTTCTGTCAATGGATAATACTTGTACATGCATTTTACATAATAGTTATTGCATCATCTGGCCTTCTGGTGTTTTCTATCAGCTTTTAAAGTCTCAGTAGAGATTTGCTTTTACTTCTGGTTATAAATATGGCCATCAACCATGTAATTTGTAAAGGTGAATAGCAAACAGTCTTGAAACTGAAAGCTAGAGAGAGGGAAAGAGCTTCTATGGTGGGTTTGACTAATTTATTGTTATCTCAGGCTCTCAGCAAATACAGAAGTAGGAGTTTCAAACTTTAGATTTTTGCTTGTAATTACTTACTTTGTGTTTCTAATTGGTTGAAAACTGCAGCATTATATTTAAGAAGTTAGAAAATTCTGAGATGGAGAGCTCTGATGCATCATATGATAAAGAAAAATTAAGTTAGAGAAGTGTTTTAATTTTTTGTGGAATTGTGAAATTAAAACTTAGATAAAAAAATTTGAATTATAAACTAATTTTCATGCCAAGTTTGTTGACATGCATTGATAATAAAGTTGTTTGAATGTAACAAGTCATGACTTACACACATTTACCCGACCATAAATATTTAATAAGGTAGATATCTTCAGGTACAACAGTTTAGGGTTATCTTTCAATCAAGTTGTTGTATGTGAAAATGTATCATATACAATATGATATATAGCCTGTAACAGATGGAAAATATACTTGATTTTGTTACCTTAGTTTCTCCCTACAAGTTTCACAAGAATGCTCAACTAAAACTACTGAATTGTTTTTGATGAAAATATACATTACTTTGTGACATTGATCATGAATCAGAATAATACTGAAAATAACTAAATAGGGAGAATACTATTAGGTACAGATTAACATAAGGTGCATACACTGAGTTCTGGTGGTTGAACTTACGACTTTTTATGAACACAACTACATCTAGATGATCAAGCATGTGGATACTTTAATTGCACCTCATTGTCTTCATTATACTAAGAAACAAACTTAATGCATGTGTAATTTCCCTTATTAAATTCAGAAGAAAATAAAATTTTAACGATTTATATAACTAGTCATTATTTTGTACAGAACAACGTTCCAGGTGGAAATGAGCCAAAAATTCTTTATTTTGAATCCACAGAATGCCATTTTGACATATCTCTGTCCTTATAACATGTTTATTTGAGTAAAGAACTGTATTTTTGATAATGCATTTTTTTCATATGCATGAAAATATATTTTTTTCTTCTAAATTTAAGGAAGAACATACAGTATATACAGTCACCCAACATTACAAGGTTTTTCTTTTTCCCATAAATTTTTACAAGTTCTTAAATATTGATGATTTTTGGTTTTCTCTCCAAAAACAACTGTTCTTAAAAGAAAAACTTTGCAAAACAAAAAAAAGAAAATTTTGTAGTTTCATGATGAATAGCTGAGCATGTGATTTGAGCAGCTACATGGATGCTAATAAATTATTATATGCAATTATTATAGGTTACAAAAGAGGAACAACTAAGAAGCACCAACCTACCTTACCTAGCTGCTTTGTTTAATTGTTCCATGACTGTAGAAGACTTGGTGGAAGTATTGAAGCCTTTTCCTTATACCAATCAAAACAACAAACAACAAAAAATTGTTGTTGATATAGTTGCTGGTTGTGGTGAAACATGGATTAAAGTTGTAGCTCGTAAACCACAAGCATTATTTATGACTTGCTTAGGTAATATATGAAATACAAATTTTAGTTTTTTTTTTTATCTTTGATGGATGTGCATAGCAATTGATATATAACCTATGTGAAACTATAAAATGAAACTTCTCACATTTGTTAAGCTCAAAACGTTTCCTTGTTTTGGCAGCTTGGTTATTTAACACAACAGCAATGTCCAGCAGTAAGTAACTATTATCGAACTATAATATTAAGATTTTTGCTGAAATAAGACTTCAGCTTTATTTCTTAGAAGGATTCATATTTTCTAGATCCAGGAAGTTAGTGGTGTTTGCTAATCAATTAATTTACAGCCCCATTACCCATTAATCAATATCTTGGTAAGTACAAGCAAAAAATAAAATGTTTGTAGGTGCTGCCAGCCAGTTGCCTTAACTAATCAGTTCAAAAAGAAGAGGGAAAAATACAAATTTGCAACATTTACTGTCATGCAGTTGCTTTCCCTCTAGATCAGCATTTCCCAAACTTTTTTGGCCACAGAACACTTTTCAGCCAAGAAAAAGCTTACAGAAAACTAGACATGTGAAATATTGGTGTAGAGGTTATGTTGCATGCACAGCGCCCTCTAGATTTGTATATTATTCATTTATTTATTTAATTAAATTACATATTAATGAATTTTTACATTTTCATGCTTATAATATATTTTAGGTACAAACCTCTCCACTAAGATATTATGTAGAATAGATATGGCATTTTCTATAATTCTTCTTCAATGAGAAATCAGTATTATATAATTCTAATATATAGGAAAATATTTCATAATAAGTTATGATTGTATAAAAAAGTGTTGAATATTTTATTAAAATTTAAAATCACGATTTTCTCACAGAGCACCTATTAATCTTGGATGGAACACCAGTGTTCCATGAAACATAGTTTGGGAAATGCTGCTCCAGACAATAGTTCAAGAAGAAATACAAACAAAACAATTGGTGGAAGTGCTGCCATACAATTGCATTCCTTCTAGTGAATAGTTCAAAAATGGTGACAGTTGCAGATAGCCTCAGTAATTTGCCATAACAAAGAAAGGGTGAGCAAATTTAGTGGCAATAGGAATTGAACCTGAGACAATCAAGTTATGAATGCAAAAATTGTACAGAATATAGATAGCTCATGATGTAGTTTTGTGCTTAACAAACATACATAATAGCAATAGTTGGATTACTTCAATAGTTGGAACAATCAAAAATAGTAATAATTTTAAGTTTTGATTTCAAGTAGTTGATTTTTAATTATTCAAATTATTCAACAAATTGAAAGACTGCCATTATAATTTTTCAGTTAGTGATTTTGATTGTTATAATTTAATGAGACTGATAATTAATTGATTAGTAATTTTCACTAATAACCCAAATCTAATATTTTCATGGCTTTATGAAATGGTTTACTTTTAAGATTTCTTTTTCTGTAAAAAATAATTTTTTAGAGCTAAAAAGAAAAAATATTTGTTATATGTGCCAACACTAAGTTTATAAAAAAAGTGCCTTTAAAAACTAATATTTGTGAATTTAAAGAAAAAAGTACAAAGTTTTTATCAGAATAAAATCTTATTCAGTCAAACTAAATAAGTAGTAGAAAATAACAGTTGAAGTTGTTTTTTTCAGTTAGTAAAGATCATAGTTATTATTTAAAATTTTGTAAAAGTTCCAAAGCTGTTTGTGTTAATGCTAGGCTGTTTTATTTAGAAATGAAATCTTTTTTTTTAATCATGATTTCTGGTTAATAACAAACACACACACGTCTATGTTTTGTTTTTCTGTTATTTATACAAAACTTAATTTCAGAAAAATTACTGTCTAATAAGGCTGTACTGCAAATTCCAAATTTCAGCAAAAAACAAAATCCTTGAAATGTAGCATCTTAGTCCAATCAAGTGGAATCTTTAAGACTTTACTTCTTCCTTACCAATTTCATATTCCATTTTCATTTATTTCTTACTGTCTATTTCCTTGCCATTCTGTTATTTATTTTTTCACACATCTCTTCATCAATTTCAAGAGCTTCAACATCAGTAAACTTCTCTGCCAGGGCTTCTTTTGTAATATTTTTCATCAATTATTTTGTCAGCTTATTTTACTAAGCACATGATAGTTCTATTCAGCACATGCTGTTATGCAAGAGAGGACAAAATGTCAACCAGAATACAGGGGAACACAGGCATTACCATGATGTTATTGGAGAGAGATCCTAGATTCAACAAAAAGAATGGAATCTTGCACAGTTTTTGGCTACAGCCATAATGACATCTCATGTTGAATCAGATTCCTGATCACTAAGATCTTTTTCTTGATCAAGGAGGTATGCTGCTTTACCACATTGTTGGCAGGATGATGACTTGTATTGTTCTAGGTTGTTGTATTTCATCTGTTTCACCTCAGGTTTGGTGAATGAACTGTTTTTTGCTTGCTCCTGTATGTATTGTCACATGATAAAGAAACACTTGATTGGCATCAAAGAACATAACTATATCAGTTTTCATTCTTTCAATTGATCTGTGCCACAGGCTGAAGGATTTGGGTGTACTTAAACTTTTCTCTCAGAACACATGTAGGAATTGCCCTAGGATAGAACCAGAAAGTGCAACCCATGCAATTGCGTGGGGCCTAAATTCAGTGCCATGAAGAGGGAATATGATGGGGAAACTACCCAGAGGCCTGTGATAAGTTTCGAAACACATTAAAAACAAGAGGGAATTCTCAATAGCCACGGCACTGGAAATTCTTTTAGGCAAGATTAGAGTAAATTAATCTACGATACCTTTCCCCCCCTTTTTATTAGCTATATTTTTGTGCAAAAATAATACCAAGCGTGGAACAACTGAAAAGCCTAATGACCCACATAATGGAAATTTTCTTAGCTAATTAGAGCTGCTAGTTTACTATGCTAGATATTTTGCTGTGATAAGGAACTGTACTCCTGATATTAGTCATCAGGAGCAGTTATCAATAAGTCTGCATATAGTTAACTGTAGTGTATGAGATGGTGTTCATATTTCTGAACATTTTATCAGAGTTACCATCATTATTAACTCCTGTGGAAATGGAATGCTGGAAGCTTTTTTGTCTCGCATACAGAAGTTGAACATTGATATTAGCAGTTGCAGAGGCCGATCTTCTGACAATGGCTCCAATATGAAAGGTATCAAGAAAGGTGTTCAAGAAAGGCTGCTGGACATTAATAACAAAGCTATGTATATGACTTGTGTAAGACACACACTAAATCTGCTGATATTACATTCTCAAAAGTCAACAGTGTATGCCTTGAGGTTTTTTGGCATTTTGGAAGAACTATATGCCATTTTCAGTAGCTCAGTGCAGCGTTTGTCAATTTTGCAGGAGCATGTAGCTGGTTTAACTTTAAAAAGTTTAGCAAATACACATTGGGAAAGTGGAATTGAAGGTGCAAAACTTTTGCAGTACCATCTGCGAGAAATTTGTGATGTTTTGAATACATTGCACAGATATACCACTAGCCAGAAAGATAGCAGTAGAGCCTCAGATACATCAAATTGAAACAATGATTTTGTTTCATGGAAGTTCATCATTTCTGTAGTAATTTGGAATGATGTTTCATACCAAGTCAACAGAATAAGCAAGTTATTTCAGAGCTATGAAACATGCATTGACATTCTCCAAAAGGAAGTTGAAGCTGTCAGTATGTTTCTGCAAGAATATATTGGTTTTGTAAAGGCCTAGGTGGATGACAGAGAGATTGCTGAAGCTGAAATATTCTTTAAACTTAAACCAGAACAAAGACAAAAAAAAAGCAGATTTTTGATTATAAAAGTAGAGAACAGTCAGATAACACTATTCCTGTGTTTAAATACTGATGCAGCTTTTTCTTCCCACTATGATGTTGCTCTAAGTAGTATAACCAAGCAATTTTCTCAAGTTCAAACTTTCTCTGTTCTATCAACAATATGAAAATTGTTTCAGATCAGAACACCCTACAAGCTAGTTGTGTGAGGATTGCAAACAAAATGGGGGACTCTAATGTCTTCATCTAGAAGTATCATACAGTTAAGGCACTACTACAATGTCTTTTTCACCAAATCAGATTCTTGACTATATCTTTAAAAAAAAAATTTTAGATTTGTATTGAAACTTTACTGTTGCTTTTTTTTCTTCTTCTTATTACTGTTGACTGTGCCTGTAGCAGTTGCTTTGGGTAAAATATTTTTTTCATGTTTGAAGCTGATAAGAAAAAAATTATTTAAGTCTACCATGTCCCAGGAATGTGAGAGTGGTCTTGTTCAGCTTTCCATCAAGCATGAAGTTGTGAGAGAGGTGCCATATGACAATCTTATCAATGATTTTGCAGCTTCTAACTTGCACAAAGCACAGTTATGGAGTTGTATATCCTCAAAGGAATAAAAGTTAGTCTCAGTTATGTTCTAATAAAATAATATTTATTTGGGGGAGAGGTAGAGTGATCCATCTGTTAACATGTTCCAATATCTGGTTTAGTGTATGCTGGCCTAAAAATACATACAGAGGCAACTCTCAGTGGTTGAAGACGATCTGTGAAATTCACAGACTGTTGATGAAAGGATTCCTTATACTTGTTTTGAATAATTTTAATAATTTCTTTGCCATTTTGCAACTGTGATGAGGAAATTGTTAACTTCTCTACGTCATCTGTGAATACCTGCATACTCATAGCACTGGAGTTGTAGATACTCATTCATCAACATTTTCCAAATGGCCTTTATATTGACTGTAGAGCTGGGTGACTAACTTGATTAATTGATAAAATCTATTATGTATGAGTATAGATTTACATTGAATAGTATTGCATAAAATAATTGATTACTCAGAATTATGATTAAAATTATCAATGTGATGAAAATAAGTAACTAGTGTTTCTGATTATTAATGTTTTAAATTAATTCAACTATCTAGTAATTATATATTGCCATTATAATATTTCTTTATTTTCAACTTGTTCAATTTGTTCAGCTTAATTCATTAGTGCCATGACTCATGAAAATAATTCGCTAATTGAACTGAGGGTTTCATAAAGCCACACAATGGGCCATGCTCTGCCTACTGCAAGTACCAAAACCTGACTAGTATCTTTGGAAGTTTTATTTTAGCCCAACGATTAACTGATTAGAAAATTCCATTTATTGCTCAGCTCTAATTGACTACATTATCTGTCACATTATCTCGGTAATTGTGTTCCAAAATTGACCTGCAATGTAATTTGCAGTGTGTCATGATCATCAGTATTGGCATTTGTTAAAAGGGTATCATAAATTTTTTTTCTTTGTTAATGTTACTCTAGGCATTAGATACCACAGTAATACAAGAGGCTTTCATGATTGAGATGAAACACTGCTCTTCTTTTGGACTTTATTTTCTATATAAGTGTTTCTTGTTAGCTGCTCTCAGATTGGGTACAGCTTATGAAAGAAGTTTTGTACATGCTCTGTAGTGAATTTTAGTAACTTGTACATTGTACTACATGATAATGTTGTATACTTTATCATTTTAACTTTTGGCTTGTATATGTATAACCTAATTTTTTTACACTGATTTTTTCTAGGTGCTAGTGGATATGGGAAAAAGTCCATTGTAGATCAAGCAAAAGAACTAGTGTCCGCAGCGGAGCAGAATTTATGGATGTTTAAGCCTCCACGTGTACAGCTCTGGATGGCTAGTGGCGTTACCAAGTCCTTGAAAAAGATCTTGGAAAATGAAGGAGTGAGAGTCTTGGGAGAAGAGGTTGATGATGACACAACATCCTTTTATCTTTTAAATCCACAAGATATCTTTAATTCAGAACTGAATATTTTGACAGAGAAAGATAAACCTAGTGAAAATTCTGAATCATGTTTACCAGAATCGGATGCTAGTAATGTTGTGGAAGCCACAAAGAAATTTGAATGGAGAGTGAGTGAAAAAATTTGTACTAGTGAACCTACAAGTACTGATGAATTCATTAATGCAAGAGCTAAAGATACAAACAAGAAATCTTCTACAGAAGTAGCTTCAGAAAGACTTTGTTTGTGTGTAAGTATTGCAGATGAAACTGTGGATAACACACTTTCTGCTTCAAAATTAAATGACTTGTATGCTAATACCTTAAACCTGGACATTTCTACAATGCTTGCATATGTCTCTAACTTGACCAATGGAAGAGCTTACTATAAATTTCAAGAATTAATTCTCACAGATCAAGCGAAGAGGGAGCGATTACATCCTGTGAAGCCTCAGCTAGATAATTTATTTAAAGGTAATTATTCTGAGTGTGCAAAAACTTCATTCTTTGGTGTTACTTTTTATGAATGATGTGTTTTTATGTCTAGTGTTGATATAGTGTATATAGTGTTGATATAGTGAAAACTTAGCAGTGGATAAACAACATGCATATCTACAAGAATTTTATAACTTTAGTTTCATCTGCCATTCATTTGTTAACCCTATATGTTCTCTAACAGTGTTATAATACTATTATAATTGACTAGCTTATACAGTATAACCTATAAAATTGTTAACACATTACTTAAGCTTAATTTGCCATGTGGTACTTGGAGTAATGCTCAGTTTTCATGTTCTGTTTAAATATCTAGGGTGTAACAGTAATGCATGTTATGTGTCAAATGCTCCTGAAAATTATGTTAGATTTGTAAACATTTAAAAGGATGTGCACTATTAATACTAGAAGTAATTTAGTGATTGTCTTAGATAAAACAACATTGTCATTTTCAACCAGTTTAAAGAGAAGTGAGTGTACTCTGAACATAAATCAATATTCAGTATTTTTGTATTATGCACTTGTGACTTCATGCCCCAGAATCATTGTAAATGCAGGGTTTCTTTTACTTATGTTGTCTATTATCTTGTAGATCATTTAGCAGATTTATACTAAGTTGCCATTGTGTGGCCAGAATTCATATCTTTGCTGGACATGTACAAAAAGTTAATGTAATTTACAGACCAGTGTCATGTTAAATAATTACGTTGGTCAATGTAAGTTATTAAACTCACGTGAGGACCTATGTAGATTGAAACAGCATTTATATCTTGCTTTTTAGTGTAAATAATCAGCAATTTCTACATGCACACATATATAATAATATATTATTATTATTACTATTATATATAGGCCAAGACCTAGACTGATATTAGTAGTATTGAAATGTAGGCTCTTAATTCCAATAAGAAAGCCTAGATATAGGTCTTGGCAATATTGATTGAGACTTAGTATTACAATTTACAGAGGATTACTTTGGCATCCCAAAATCTCTTCTAGCACTTAAAAATGTTGACAACTATGTCCAGATGGCGCTTACAGAAAAAGTCAGTTTCACACACTGAATAACTCATTTTATTGAGAATATTTTGCTGAGATTTGGATGCATATTTCATATACAAGGTGCTGTTTTGAGTTGTAGTAATATTTTACCTTTAACCATATTAGATCTTCCCAAAATAGGTATCACAACCTTTATCCTTTAGTCTGCTTTTCTTGTCTAAATTACTACAATTTAAGTGAGTTCTTGTAAAATCTTGTTCTGTTTCATCTCCTAACTCTGAATAAGTTTTGTTTCTAATTTTTTGGAAAAAATAACAGGAAGAAACAATCATTCAGTCCTAGTGAAAGTCGTGTTCTTGTTGTGAGGAGAGTACTTTTATTTAAAATTGTGTTCTGTTATAAAGAAATAGTTGCTGCACATACCATAGTTATTTTTCTATTTGTCTGAATATTCAACACCCAAAGTGTGAAATTTTTGTATGGTTTTTGTTTGTGATGTTATTCAATAGATGGCACCACATTTCATAAGCCTCAATCACCACTTCTGGCATTGAGATTGTTATATTTCAGCACAACAGATAGCACCTATGTATTTATTATTTCAGTAGGTCAGGTAGATAGATATACAGATGGCTACACCACTTCTTCATTATATTAAATGCTTTGAAGGTCTAAATGCAGATTTGTTCTTTGGCAGAAGTATTTCTTTGACATGATTGCAAGTTCATGGAATGATTTTGCCCAAGTATATTGTGTGTAATACTAGTTTAATTGAATTAAACAGTTGTTGGATAGATATAGGTATATAAGGATATATTTAGTTCAGCCTTAATGCATAGATTGATGGATAGATGACTTGAATAGTCTAAATTGGCTTCAATCATTTTGATTTTCACGTTACCGATTGTTAGGATTAAATAAAATATTTGACAGAGAATTTCCTTCTTCAGGATCTTTAAGCTGTTAAAATTCTAGTCACTAAACACATCACCTTAAGTGTGAAGGAATTTAGCACAAAAGAATAGTTGATATTGTCTGATCAACTCAGCAGTGAAAATCTAAAAAAAAGGAAAAAAATGAGGGTTTGATTTTATCTTTAATGATGTTATTTTTAAATGTAATATTAAAAAAAACTGGTTTTTAAAAAACAATTTTCAATAATACATAACAACATTACAGTTTATATCAGTAAAATTTGTGAAAACTTTAAGCTGTGTACTTCCCAGAAAAAAATATTTTTTTAGAAAATGTTACCTTTTTTTTACAATGAGGTATGAATACCATGATTACTAATTATTAGCATAAACAGTTGCCCATAGGGTGGTATTTCTGCTAATAATGCTTAAATTTTGCTTTGTTTTCAAACTAACAATGCTCCTTTTGATCAAAGCGGGTGCTATACTTTAGACTTCTCAATGGTGATATTCATTTTTATATTTAACTGTAGACCAATAACCATGTATAAAATAGTTCAGGTCCTTCTTCAATATTAAGTATCAGGTCTTTCCAGAATGTTATCATATATTACAAATTTAGAAAGGCTTGAAAGATTACAGTCCAAGAAACTATCGAAAACCAACAACAAAAGGTTGAGATGAATATTGATAAACACAGGTTCCCAAACAAAACTCTGAGGTACTTAACTAGTAGCAATCTGCCAATTGTGAAAATGGCTATATGTGATTGCCTTTGGCTTTCTATCACAAAGCCAATTTTCTTTCTACTTCTTTCTTCCAATTCATAACAATCAAACTTTCTTGGTATAACATTCCTCAAGCTGCATCTTATCAAAGGTTCTGTGAAAGATATGCATTGTACAACATATCTCTGGGTGTTTGCATTAAAAAATAGAAGGTGTACTATCAACAAACTTAGTATTTATTATTCCAAATTCTGTGTTTATAGGAAGAAAACTAGTTTGTTGTAAAACTGCACTGGAGGATTTTCAGCAGATTGTCAGTACAGTTGGAGGAGAAAATGAAAAGAACAGAGCAGCAGCACTCATCAAACAGTTGCATGTTGTATCAGACCAAACATCTGACAAAAGTCTCTCACTGTTTGGTACTGGGCGTATGCGTCAGCGATCACAGGTAAGTGACAATAAGTGGCAAACTTGTGAATATATACATTTCTGGCAGGAAATAATTGTTAAAAATGTGTTGTATGTGTATCTTTGAAAAACATTCATGCACCAGCCAAAAGATGGTTTGCAATCTGCATTTTGTTATACATTTGTTCAGGAGATGATAAATACAACATATATTCTGGTAGATACTAATACTTTCCTATATTACTTTACCATATAATTCAAATTTATCTATCCAGGTTCTATACATTATCAACAATTTGACCAGATTTTCCATTTCTCTCTTTACCAATAAAACCTCACCAACACTGATAACCATTACAATACATGAAGTATGTGCAGGGTAATGTCTGTCTTTAGTTAAAAAGAAAGAGCATATGAAACTTTTAACTTAATTATTTATTGGATTATTTATTTAATTATTTATGGATTCTACTTAACTTCACAATAAACTATATACAACAGAAATTATACTTATTTGCTAATTTCATACCTAATTCTTTGCCGAAATGCTGACTCAATGTTTCTTAGCCCCAACTAACTGGCTGACAGTAACAGATAAACAGGACATGAAATAAGTGGTATCACTTTGCAGTTTGCACCAGAAAACATATACATGCCTTGAAGTTACTTGCAGAGGTATAATTGAGAGTTTTCATTGGTAACCAGTGGAAGAGTTGGGGAGAACATTGTCTATCCACCATTTACAGACTTAAATAGTGTTCACTGATATTCCTGGATGTTTTCCTTCTGACATTGGAAATACTTAACTAAATTACATGAAACATAGAAATGACTTTCTTTATAGTATCTAGCTTCAGTTTAAAAAAATAACATGTAACTTAATTTTGTTCTTTTTTATCATGTCCAAACTTTTATGACTTTTTTTTTAAGATTAGAAATACTTTAATTTGTTTTAAAATTTCAGTTTTTGAAATGTTGATTAAAATAGTTCCATTTTTATATATCGAATCAGTAGCTACTTCCAATTTTGTGTTTCAGTAAATACTTCCTAAATACATGCTGTAACATTATATAATGGTGGGAATATGTAGGCTCCTCCTTATAAAAGGTACAACATAAACAACTGTACACTCTATGCAAAGATGGCTTTTGCTGTTCAAAGTGCGACTTATTTAGCATTTTGTTTATATTCAGATTTTAAAAGGTATTTCTTCCATTGACAACCTAACTAAATGATGCACTGATTAGTCATTAACTGACTAATGGACTCAGTAATTTACTTTAGTCATATAAGCACTGGTTCTTGTATGGAGTAAGTTGGTGTTAATAAATATGCTGCTCAAAACAAATAAAAGATCATTGGAGCTTGTAATATTTTAACTAGTTCAAGGTAAGAATATTACTGTTATTAGTTCATCGTCATAAAAATTTAAACAAACCAAACCCCAACATAACAATCAACCATTAACTGCTGCTTCTGGCTCACTGCAGTGGTAGGATATAGGCTTTGAGAATGAATCAGTCTTTGCAGTCACAACAGGATGCTGTCTGTGTACAGATTGTTAGAAGCAGGCTTCAGAAGGCCAGATTGTATGCCAGATACTCAAGGAGATGCATTCCTCTTGTAGCAAGGCACTAAACAGCTTGCTGCAAACATGTAAAATGTGTCCAGTGAATCTACAATATGTGGAGCAATATTATTTTTACAGATGAGTCAAGCTTCATCCTGCAAGAACATAATGGACCTGTAGTGTATATTGATTTGGAAAGAATCTGGAATTTGATCCACCACAATTTCAGTATATAGTAGAGGTGGAAGTATGGTGTAAACAGGAATAAGAATTGTTGAACTTTCCAACCTCTATATTCTGGTGAATGATTGATAAAACATCCTTTGACCATTTGTGTTACCAATCCTGATGAAGTTGATCTTGATTTAAAATGAATAGGGGAAAATTCTCAGTCCCACTGTGGTAAATATTCACACATTCTTTGAAAATTGATCAAATAGAATAGATTTCCTGGACATTTTACTTAAATCCCATAAAATGGATATTGCATGCTTTTGGGAGAAGTATCACTATTATATAGTGACCCAAGGCACTAAAGATGCCTTGAAAATGCCTCTTCAAGAGATTGGTCAAGGATAATTTGGGACTTTATCAGTCAATGCCAGGCTTCCCTCGGTGTTCATGGGGATCTGTAAATATGTAGAACCAAATGTTCCAAATGGTCAGCTACAAGCATAGGCTGAATAACCAGTTACTGACATTTTAGATCACATGACTGATATGCATGAAAATAAATAATTGGAATGATCAAAATTATTCTATGATAGTGTTTTGTACAACATTACAAAATTCAGTGATCCTTTAACTGTTTAGGACAGTGTACATCATACTTATTAAAAGATGAGTGAGGATAAATCAAGTTTAGTTAATAAAAATTGTAAAGTCATCCAGCACTTATGAGTTTTAATGTTTCAGCTTAAAGTTGTACTTGATAAAAATTAAGAAAGCTTTATTACATCTTGGGCTTAATTACCATACCGTAAACAATCTTTTATACCAAATTAAAGAATTTTTCAGTGAACTTATTCAAAATGGAACATATGTTTTTGTTCAAATTTATATCTAATTTCTTGTTATTATGAAGTACAACTGTTTTACACAAAATTTAATAATTTGCCAATTTTGGAGAGATAATGCTTCAAAAGGATGCATCATATTATTTTGAATGATTATCACAAATCTTACTTTCTGAAAGTTTGTTTTTTATTCATGTTGATTACAGTGAAGAATTTGAACCTCCTTTCAAGCATGTTAAGCCAAACATTGGAAATCTTAGGAAATTGATAAGTTTGCTCAGAAATATAATTCTAGATAAGATATACTTTTGTGATCGTTAGAAGTTTGCTGCTTTAGTTTTACTGCCACACTATATAAACAGAAAATCTGCATGTTAGAGGATTTCAGAAATGCCTATAATGCATTTTGTTGTAATAAGGTAATCTTTGGAACTGGTGATAGTATACAAGCTGTGACAGTGACAGCCAATCAGGGATTTGTTCGTGCAGCTAAAGCTCAGGTCAGTATTTTATTGTATAATTTAGGTTAGTCTCTTATGAATAGACATTAATATCACTTTGGCTTTCTATTGATTATAAATAATTTAGTATTAAACATCAGAGAGAATTATTGGCAATTTATGAAAAAGACTATGTGACAGGTGGGTGTGGAAAGAGGGTCTGATTTACTAGTTTGTGACCCTGTAACCAAATACGATTGAAGGCTATAAAAAGTATGCTTTGCCTGAGTGATGACAATATTATAATGAGTAATTTACATTAAATTCCTTACTTCTTGGAGAGTTGGGAAATAAAATAGAGAAGCAGGATGGTCTAGAGAGCAAATGTCACTATTCTGATACTAGGTGAAATTGAGGATAATTTCAAATATTGTTTTATAAAGTTAAGAACTTAAAACGTATATTAAAACTTGGATTATTAGCTACATTTTGATGTCAAGTTTATTCATTTACCTTGAGAATAAAGTAGTTTAATTACATTTTGAATGTAACTCAGTAAAACCTTGTTTCATATGGCAAAAAGGATGCCCACATGGAAAGAGTTAATTGAATCAGTCTATTGTTTGTTGTAATCAGTGTGTTCAATCATCTTTTCCCTTGGTCAGTTGCCAGTGGTTGGTAGCCATAGTTTTCTACAGTAGAAGACATTTTTCATGTCAACTGGCATTACTGATAGGTACTGAAGTAAGATGATTTTGAAAAGCTGATCACAGAAATAGTCCTTAACCCTCTTGTTATGGACAAATCAAAGGGCATATGTCATGACATTTTAAAAAGTTATTTTCAAAATTTAATTCAACAACTTTATTATCATTGTACCTCAATACAATTAGCATCACAATGTAGTTTATAATACAAAGTTTAATAGAATATATACATTTTAACTTCTTAATTCAAAAGAAGATATTAAAAAGAAAAGCTAAATATGTTTTTTTTTGTGGGTGATATTTCATGTTTTGTTTTCTTATTCTTCAGTATATATTTTGTTACACCTACCACACATTGTATATAGTGATTAACAAATTACAAACTCAAATTTCAGATATTTACAAGGTAGAATATAATATAAGAACTTTTCCCCTTTTTTGAGATATTTTGCAAACCTACCAGCCCTGCACACCACTCCATTCTCTGAAACCTCTTGTCTACTCACACCTACTCCTTTCAAGTACGTATTTATAACCAACAGATAGAACACATTCCAAACTACATAACTCTGACAGGCATTTGTAATTGGCTTGAAGGGAAAACTTATCATTTAACTAGAAATAGTGAAGTCTGTTGACTAGGTTATTGCTCTGAACAGAAATGAATTGTTGTTTTTTTCTAACATATCGCTTATTTAGAAAACCAGATCAATTACAGTGGTTTTATGTGTTCTATTATAGTAATTTGATAATTTTTTTGGTTTCTAATATGCATCTTTCAAACCTCAAAAATTTTGTCTTCTCTTACCACTTGAGAAAATAAATGATGTTTATAGCAAGACTTAGCAAGTACGGTGCACGAATATGAATCAATTTCATAACATCGTAAGTACTAGAAGTCATTGTTTTTCTATATATTTTTTATTTACTGTTCTATGTTTTGAGAAAAAGAACTAAAAAATTAAGCATTTATGAATAAAGAGTAATAATATATATATACATGTTCATAATCACTTGTACACCTGTACTGCTCTATACCAAAAGTTAATAATGACAACTGCTGGACAAGTGCTCATCATCATGCCTCTAAGCATTAGAGATCCATGTTTTTTTTCCTGTTGTCTTACTATGGTATGGCATAATTAAGCATTTATGAGTAAGTAGTAATAGTATATATATATGTTGTGTGTGTTCATAAGCACTTATGCACTTTGTAGAACTACGATGCTAAATTCCCAAAGTGTTAATAATGACAACTGCAAGACAATTACTTAATCATCTTGCCCCTCTTAAGTGTTACAGATTCATGTCTTTATATGGTGTTCTCAGGTAAGCTGATGCCCCTTAAAACTTTCATGCTCAGATGGGTTTAATTTTATCTGGAGAGCAAAATTGCATCATTGAATGAAAAAAAAAAATTGAAGTAGTTCTTACACACACAAAAAAAACTTCAGAGTTGAATTTTATTCTGGAAAAAGTTCTATTTATTTAATTTCATATACGAAAAAAAAAAATTGCAAATATTAATTCTGGATTGATTTATGTGTGACCTAAATGAAATCATTAGTGTTTGTGAATTACTTGCATTTTTCTGAGCCTAATGTAGTACTTGCAACCACCTAGGACAGTGATTTTCAAACTTTTTGTTTACTGACAACACTTCTGCTGCCACATGCAATATATATGCGATAATATATTTTTTTTTTTAATAACATAAACATAAAAGTGTAATAAAAATACATAGAGGTACCAGTACTGAAAAGATAGAAATACTGTTTTCAAGAATTCTAAAAATAGTGCTTATATAGTTCACTCTAATGCTGAAGGATATACAACATTGGTAGTTTTTTTTTAAATTAGATGGGAAAGATCTTCATGTGCTCCTGTATCATTTTGTCAAGTTTGGTGCTGATGGATGAAGAAATGTGTAAAGTATAAGGAACAAATGCATACACACACATATTGATGTTTATTTATATAGATGGTACTGCAGATTTTTCAAGAAATCTGTCACAGAAAGAAGAGTTACATTACCACACATGTCCCCTAGTGGGTTCATAGTAAGTTTACAGACTTACACTATATAATCACATGTTTGTTTCCCTGTGGTGAACAGATCGCAAATAGTCTGTTTTGTAGTTTGGCATTAGAAAATAAACAGACACTCATAAATAAAAAGAAAGCATCATATTGTGGACCAAAATGTTACTTTTTCCTCAGCACAAATATTTTCCCAATGAAGAATCTGAAAATGTTTCAAATAATAATTATTTAATCCATGAATTTTACAACTACCCACTATGGTCATATAATTAACAAAACCTTTTATGGTAAAAAATAATTAATCATAGAAAATCAAAGTATATTTTGATCTTATTCAACTATTAATGCTGTGTAACAAATTAATGTTTTGAAAACAATCCCCATTTTTAAGCATTAGAAGAAAAATATGTTGTTTTTTATTACAGTAGGCAACAAAATTGGCATTCTATAGGGGCAGGGTTCTTTACTCTTGTTATTATTAACAATGGAGACAAGCCATATACAAAAGACCTTGCAATAAGCTTTTTGTCTAAGTGGACATAAGGAATACTTGAAATAAATTATCTTGTTCCTGTACTTTTAGAACGAAAGACTGAAACAGTGATTTCAGAAGCATTTGTGTATGTACAAATTTTATATGAAAAGAATTTGTGAAATATTACTTTGTGTCACCTATACACATAAGTGTTGTATATGTACACAGATTTCTTCATATATCAAAGGTAAATTATCAACATGCTTGGTACAAGGTTTCTATTAGAAGGCTTAACTAATAGTTTATTATAAACCATTCACATTTTTGTAAAAGTAATGTTTTAAACAATGAAATAATACTTTATTTAATTTTTATACTGCCATTACAGGGTGTTAACTTTGTAGTCTTTTGCCATGAGTCCAGAGCTCTGACGGAAGTCAAGGAATCCACAGCACAGTGTATTTTGCAGGAAGAGTGAAACAAACCCAGTGGAGATGAACTTTGATTTTTGTGATGTACAGGTTAATGTGGAAAGTGGATCGATTCTAACCACAACTGTATGTACCTAAAACCTTCATATAAGGGAAATGAATAAATATTGTTTAGTTGTGTGTTTGGGTACAAGAGAATACCTTTAAGAAATATACCACTGAATCTGGAAAACATGTTTTTAAATCCTGTCCATTAAATTGATCTAAAAACTAAAGCCTATGCTTTTCTGGTGTTTGTTTTGCCAACTTTAATTGTGGACTTGATAAAAAAAAACAAAAAAAAAAACAAACAACAACAAAATACAACTTGATTCTTCAATTTGATGTCAGTTTATACTTTATTTTAGCAATTCGAATTTCAGTTGCACTGTTAAAAAAATACCTTAATATTTTGGCTTATTTTTAAACTTGTATTCAAATGACAGATTTTATTGTAAAAAATGTACTAGTTCATCAACTGAATGTCATTGTAGATATCTAAAACTAATAGCTTACTCAGATAGCTTTCACCAACTGACAACTTCAAGTTATTCTTACATCAAACTGTATTATCAACTGAACCAGTTTACTCTGGTAGAGATAACTACAATATTTGTTTGACTAATGAGTTGGGGTACAGTTCATTAGGTATTAGTAACCTAACTTGTTGAGTGTTATTGAAGAAGATTGAGTAGATACATTAATGGATAACAGTAGTTCAGATCCTTACATATTGACTTCATAAATGTCAACTTTTAGAAAATATAAGATATAAGCTATTATACTGAAAATTGAAAATGCTTACTTAAGTGCTTTATTTACTGCATTTTATAAGTGTATCCAATGACTTACTGCATTTCATAAGTGTATGGATTGTTTCTTTTAAAGATTAACCAAAAGTTAATTTCATTAGTGCATTCAATGATTCTTTAAACTATTTTGACTTTCTGCAACAAAAGTAGTTGTGCTGTCTTTGATATTGTAATTATTTTTACATCAAGAAAATTATTACCTTTTTATTATTTTCATCCAAAACTGGGAATTTTATTTGGTTGAAAAATTGTCTTCTGAAGATGTTAATGTGATTTTAGCATCAACTATAAAACATCTGGATCCAAATACCATGCATTTTCTGTTCTTACCAACAATTAATAATTGTCTGTAAGACTTGTTATTGGTAGAGATAGGTATCCATGTTGAAGATCTAAGTGATGTAAGTATGTTGTATATTACATTGAATATATTTAAAATCATGCATTTTGTGATTTGGAGTAAAATCAGTTATTCAAAATTATTTTAGCTGATAATATGGCTGCTTACCCTAATAAATAACTATGTTGTGCAAATTAATACAGTTAAAGTTGCCAATGGTTCTAAAAGAATTTCTATAAGCAAATAATAAATTATTTTTCAATATGAAAAAATGAGTTCCAATTCAGACTTTTGGTTGCAAAGATATGGTTTGAGGACATTTTTTAAAAAGACAACTGACTCTTTGACATGACACTGTCGGTAGACAAGCCTATTTGAAACAAGATCATGTTAGTGTGTGTATTATTATTTTGATATAGATGTCAAAAGGTCATTCAGATTAATTGAAAACTAGTCAATTTGAAAGACATGAGCCAAAGAAACAAGTTAATTTTTATTATTTTTAAAGTACTTGTGATTTTCAAGGTACAGCAATTATTAAGATATTTTTGTGTTACTAATATATTAATATATCTACATTTGTATCATAACTTGTCTGTATACCTGTCACTTTTTAATACATTGATCTTAGAAAGTGAAACTGTAAGCAAGCAACCAGGTATCTATTAATCCAAGCTTCAGTGAGTTTAAGTACAAAGCTACATAATTAGTGTTACCACAGACTTAACCATTTAGTACTACAAGTTTTCTATAAAAAAAAAAGGTATCATAAATTCTAAAAAGTGCCAAAATTATGAAAAAAAGATACCATTAACCATAAATTACTTACTTGGCTTCTTTTTACGTCTCTCAAGTAATACCTTAACTTGCTAATTAACATACTTGCAGTATATTCTTACTTAAAAAGTAATTTTCTTCATTGTGTGCATTTTATCTTTCATTAATGTTTTTAAATAATAAATAATATTACACATGGTACAACATTTAACACTACACGTTTTTCTATAATATTAATAGGCTTACCTTTGAGAATAGTTTTGGTCCCTTTTGGATTTTTTCACATATTTGTTTATTAGAATAAATCACAAGATACATATTATTTTAGTATAGGACTAGAGCAAGAAGCATACCATATTAGCTCACCTATGAATGTGTTTTTCTTTAAAGATGCATACTGTAATAACAAAAAGATTTTCATTAACTGCCATATGATAGAACTATCTGTTTAGTGCCAAGATAAGTTTAATTGGTTCCCCATGACAGACCTCTGAACCACCTGGTGAGGACTTGCCTGTAGCCAGGATGCTCCCCCCCCAACACACACACACACACACACACACACACACACAAACTTGGGTTGTTTCTTAGTTGGTAACTTGAATTATGATTAAATTAATTGACATAATTGTGGAATAAACAGTTAGTGGATAAACATTACAAGAGATTATAAAGTCTGAATATGGCTCAATTTAAAAACAATCTTAATTTGGAAAAATAGGTTTTCAAATTTGACATAGATCTAATTTTTCAGTTGTTTGAAGAGAGCAATTTTTGTTTTTCTTCACCCTACCTAATGTCTGTGTAAACTAATCTATTAAAACACAAGCTAAACCTAAACTAACAACCTGATTCAAAGCATAATATTTATCAACTGAAGGTCTTGCTGACATGATATATGGTAACATAACTGCTCGTTTTTGTTATTGATGACCGGTTAGAAACTCGCGCATAGTTTTACGTATTTTTCAAAATAATAAGATATTTATAAAGTTAGTAGTTGCATGATTGTTTGTTTGACCACTGAAGGAAGATGAATTATCTTCACTGAATTATCCGTGAAGATAGATGACGGATCATTACACTGGAAACACAGATACTAACTAAAAATATATATATAATCAATTGAACAACGACGAACTTGCTTGTAATGATGTTCCATATCCTAGAATCATGTTCGGAATAATGACTAACAAAGCTACCAATATAAAATAGAAATACGAAACCCTATTATAGCCCGAGCGCTTTCGACAAGTGGACCGTTCTTCTTCAGGAACAAACCTGAAGAAGAAGGGTTCACCTTCTGAAAGCGCTCGTGCTACAGGGTTTTGTACTTGTGTGTTAAATTGATTTCCTGAACCTACGTGTTTTCCTGACATCATGAACATAACACAGACCAGTTGCCAAATTATAATTAAGTTGAGCGCAGCTGGCTACACTTTTATAACAAGTTTAAAATTATTTAATTCTACAAATAAAACATTAATATTGTTATTAAAACAAATTAAATAATATTAACTAAAGTGTTTCTTGTTTCAATAAAATACAGTTGTAACATCTGAATAAGCTGTTTGCTTTTTTTTTACCAAAAGAAAAAGTACCAAAAGCCTCAACGGCATACCTTCATATCAAAATGGTACCAAAGTACCACCCGTGGTAACACTGTAAACAAGGAGCTATCGAAATCCGGTTTTTAGCGTTACAAGACCTCAGACTTACTGCTGAGTCACCAGAGGCAATATCGCAAAGAACGTAAATGTGATATTTGTGGATGTGCTATAGTCTCCAGGAACCAAAACACAAAAGTAGCGAAACAAAGTTGGCATGTTACAATTAGCGACTCCAAAAACAAGATAACGAGAGAGAGATTTTTAGGCTGGTGGTTCGAATCCCCGTCACACCGAACGTGCTCGTCCTGTTAGCCATGGGGGCATTAAAATGTGACGGTCATTCCCACTATTCGTTGGTAAAAGAATAACCCAAAAGTTGGCATTGGGTGGTGTTGACTAGCTGCTTTCCCTATAGTTTGTCACTACCAAATTAGGGACGGCTAGCGTAGGTAGCCCCTAAGTAGTTTGGCGCAATATTTCCAAACAAACTAAACCATGCAAGATTATTTGCATTAAACATAGGTAACTTATCTTACCTGGAAGTGATTAGTATTGAAACTTGTCGGGGATGCTTCTTTCAGAATGTGTCATTAGCATAATGTTATTTTTTTAATATGTTTATAAACGCCATGAAAATATTTTAGCTACAAGAATTTCCTAATGTATACCACTTGAGTGTTATTATTTCAGTGTGATTTTTCTTTTATTTTTCAACAACTTGATTGGATAGATTAGTTCTTGAAGAAGAAAAAAAAGAGGTAGACGAGTCAGACGATTTAAACGTTTTTTCTTCTTTCTTTAAATGAATCTCAATTTAATGTTGTATATTAACAAGTACATTGTAACGTATATAAGAAGACTAATGCCACTGTTAAGGGAAACACGTTTTTTTTTTTTTTTTAATGTGCACAATAATCTAGTGTTCTTACCAGAACATGTTCGACGGTTACTTGGGTACTAGTGGAATAGGTGCATACTGTCAAGTTGAAAAGTGTAAGTTATTTATATTATAAACACGACTTGGATTATGGAACCTTTGATCAACAGTGTGCGGAGGAAAATTTAAAGGTTTTGAAACCTTTGAGATGCGATATTAAAGTCGTATAACAGCGTTGACGGTTAGACTCACGTAAAGCCTTGTGTACGTGGAACGTATACGATATACACTGATACATATATGTAAAGAACGTGCCACATATTTTAGAAGTTTTGTGCGTCGAACATGCCTTGAATGATCGATAACATGCAGTATAGGGAATGAACCAGTATTATCGAAGAAGCTATAGTTATGTGCAGCAAAACAACACAAAGGTTGATATACAGACTGGTTTAAAGTTTTTTTTGTTTTTTTAATATATGAAAGCTAGAAGGTTGGAACTTGTATACAATTTATCAATAGTTTAAGCAATTCAAAAAGTAAAATCACTAATCAGTTTTTTAGTTAACCATGCCAACCATCACCATGACGATACTGTCACGTGATTACGCAAAACTCACATAATTTATCAGAAATATGTATTTTAGTAATGTGTGAAACGTTATAATTAGTGTGAAAGTAATATACGTAAATATGAATCCAATCCATGTGATGAAAGTAACTAATACGGAGTAAAAAAATTGAGTTTCTTGTGCAATCTTAAACAGTTGAGCCTTTAAAGTATCTTATAAACGCTGCTTGTATGAAGACGAAATTCACAAATTAATTAAAAGAGTTGGTAGAAAAGTCTCTAACGGTTTATTTGTATGTTTTGAAGAGAAAATACATTCCAAACCACATGAGTGGTTGAGATTATATATCATTTAGCATCAAAAAATTATATCTAATTTTATTGATAACGCCTTAGGCTTAAAACGCAGAAAACTTAAACTTTCTTCACGCATCTTATAACAATATCCACTCAGACTAACTGCTGTCAAACGTATTTTGAAAACTAATATTTATAATCTTTTAAAGTAATTGGAAAAATTATATATATATTATTTATGATTGCCAAATGACAACTTGCATCGAAGTAATAGTTTATTTTTTATCAGTTGTATATATACACGTGAACTAAAATTGTTCTAACATCGATTACTCATTACTAAAGGCAGAAAGGAGACGTAAGATGAATACGTATTAACTCGTATATATTACCAAAGTACTAGATTGTACTTACACGAGACATACCATGCAATGAAGAACCATTAGGGTTGTACTATATTGTGGTGCTGTTTACCCGAAACACATATGTATATATACCTTGCAATGAAGAACCATTACGAATGTACTAGATTGTGCTACTTACACGAAATGTATGCCATGCAGTGAAGAATCATTAGGGTTGTACTATATTGTTCAGTTCGCACGCTTGGTTGGTTCATATGTTATCCCACTCCATTAATTTGACACTAATTTGAAATCAATGAATTTTCTCAATGTGAAGCATAAATCAACTCAATAAAATTAAAATATTATGCCAATTATAAAATAATCAAGTGTAATAAGAAGAATATTCATAATCCTAAAGGCTGATTAGCATGCATTTTGATAAATTTCATTCCAAAAATTTAAAAGATTCGAATTGCCTATCTAGACACGATGTTGTGTTGACGAGCATATTAAACTAATAATTGGTTGTATTTCTTGGAATGAATACACACAGAATAATAATTACAACATTTTAAATGTTGAAAACCTAAAATGTTGTCGGGATGAGAATTAATTGCCAGTGCTTATTTATTTTGTGTATTTTAGTTCAAAGCCACATTTGGTTTTCTGCTGTGTCCACCGTGGGGAATCAAACACTAGATTTTATCGTTGTAAGTCCGTAAACCTACCGTTGACTCACCGGGGGATACTACCGAACAGTTTCATACTTAAGTTTCGTTATTACATTTTTAGT